AAAACCCCCCCCCCCCCCAAGGGCATGGACGGTGCTTGACGCGGCCTTCACTGCGGCGCTGGGCAGTGAGGACGGCCTGGAGTGCGTCTGCAGGGCACTCAGGTGCGGCAGTGTGTGATTGCTGTGTGTGTGTGTGTGTGCGTGCGTGTGTGTTGGGCGTTCGACGGGCTGCAGCTTCTTGGCAGCCCCTCATTTCTCCAGCCCTCCTCTGACGGGACACCTGGTATCGATGAATCAGGGGACGCCTCCGCCATGTGCCCAAGCACATTCTTGATAAACACGGGCGCGTGCGCGTGCGCACATGCACATGCACGCACGCGCGCACGCGCGCGCGCGCGCACACACACACACACGCTCACATGTGCAACACAATTTTACATGCGCGCACCCACACCTCCAAACACAGGCACAAACGCACACAAACCCTACACACACAACCCACACACAACCCGCCCTCATTCAACCCCAGGCATGGCATCAAGGCCGCCGGCCTCAGCGGCCAGGCCATGCTGCCAACGCTGCTGCAGGCCCTGCCAGCACGCTTCCAGCAGGTGGGCCCTCTTGACGTGCACCTAGGGTGGGGCTGGCGGGGTGGGCGCGGGCTGGTGCCAGACACCCCATGCAGGTTGTGCGGCCCTGCAGCCATCTCAGTCGCACGTGTCCTTTTGTGAAAGCCTGGTGCAGAGACCCCGCGCCTTGCTCTGCGCAACCCGCGCGTGAAACTGCCCTTCCATCGCTCCACGAGTTCGTCACGTCACGGCTGCACAGAGCTGCAAAGAGATTCCGAACAAGCAAATGATGCATATTAACAGCAGAGAAACCAACCCCTCCCTTGGTATATATGACCTGCGCAGACGAGGCACCCTGCGCTGCTGTACGTGGCGTCAGAGCTGGTCAAGGTGTTTGCCAGGGAGCCCAGCGCACAGGCGGGGCTGGCCCCCATCCTGACGTCACTCATTGTCAGCTCATGCCAGGAGCTCGCCAGCCTGCCGGTGAGGGGGGCGGCAGGGGAACTCAACCAGTGTCCAGGATGTGTGCTGGCGTGCTCGTTCGAGGGGGAACATGGGTTCGAGGTGGTGGACGTGTGAAATGCTGCACTTCTTCGTGAGATCACTGGGACTGATTTTGGGGGAAAGGGGTCAGGTTTTGCTTGGTTGTGTGCGGTTTCAAGGTGGGCGCTGCAGGGGACCGTGCGGCGCCCCGTCCGCATCGCGGGTGACGCGCAGGTCACAGCCCCCGCGTTCGCCTCGCTTCCTCGATCCACCATGACAGCTGGCCCCCTGTTAGCTCCCCCTCCTGTCATCCCCCTCTCCTGCCACTTCACCACTACGCGGCGCCTCCCGCCCCTCACCCT